ATAAAAATTAATTTTTATTTAAGTAATTATTTAATTAAAATTATTTACATTACACTAATGATGAAATCAATCATAATTTTTATATTTTTCAATAATAATTAATATAAAAATAATACAATAATAATATTTTTAATTTATGCAGAACATAAATTAAACAATCAAACAAACCCTTTCAAATTTGCATGCAATCCATAAATATATAGGAAGGACTTTTTTCAGTATGAATTGTACCAAAATATAAAGGTACTGAGACACCCTTCAAATGTCCTAACTTTCTTTCTTTCTTCCATCGTGAAATTCCAATTTGGAGGGAAATGAAGGTAGAGAGTTTCTTAAAGAATGTAGTATGTACCTGAAGAAGAATTGTTGAGAACCCAGCTGAAAAGGGTTCTGTTTTACATTCAATCCGTATAAAATAAGACATATGGATTTTTTTATTAGAAAATTGATAAAATTAATATCAACTTTTAGTTTTACTATGTGTATTAATGATAAAAATATGTAATAAATATATCCTTATCATGTACCTTAAAAAAACCCTATATTAAAATTAGTAACACAGGAGTGAAGAAAAAATACCACAATTTTGTATTAAAATATCAAAAATAATAAAAAAAAATTAAAATATATACTTAATCAATAAACACAGCAAGGAAAATTCATTATAAATATTTAAACAATTTCATGTAAAGTCTAAGTAGTATTTAAAATCCCTAGCCTATGTGTGCAAGAAATCACTAAAAACTAGATTTGTTGTTAGACATTTAGCTTCGATCTTTGAACGTCCTCATAGATTATCTTTTGTAATGTTTCCTGAAAACTAAGAGTTGAGTACCACTTGTACTCTTCATTGCAATAAAATATTTGATTCATCTAAAAAATAAAAAAATAATATTTAAAATGTTAATATATCTTATTTTTAATTGTATCTTAAAGACCATATGAATCATGAATATTACTTCCTCTGTTTATTTTTATTAGACATAAGTTTTTTATTTAGAGTGTTCACATTTAGTTATCTATTTTTTTAATGTCATTTAATATTTTTATTTTTATTTTGTCCTTATATTAAAAAGGCAATCATGCTGTTCAACTAAAAGAGAGACAAATTGCATGGGAAATTCCTGAATGAAGTGAAAGAAAAGTCAGGACTAAATAATAAAGGTAAAACATGAAAAGACATTGTGGGCCAGTGTGATAGTCCTCAAGGCCACGGCATAAAATGTTTTAGACTATTAATTTTTTAATTTTTTAAATAGTATTAAAAAAATATAAATTTATTAATTAATAAATATTAATTATTAATCATTATTATTATTTTTTTGAATATTGAAAAATACGGAAAAGAGAGAATTTACAAAAATTAAAATCAAGGTTTTAATTTTAACATATATATACCTTATTTAATGCAATAAGTGTTATGGATGTAATTATTATTATTTATTTTGAGTAATTAAATTAAATAAAATTAATATTTTTAAATATAATATTTTATAATTTTAACATTATGAGTAATCATTCCATCCACACCTGCGCAGGCTTTTTGCCTTGCGGATTTCAGTTTCTGAGGAAAAAGAGGTAAGTGGGGTTTACCGTTTACCAGCGTACTTTACTGACTGTAGATGGTTTATGTTTTGGAGTTAGGGTGCATTCCATCATTTAATTATATATAGGATTTTTTTATTATTAATTTATATAAAAGAATATTTATCAATTAATTTTTTAATTAATTTTTTAAAAAAAAATTTTAAAACTACAATTGTTTTAATAAATTTTTATTAAAAAGACAATAATAATATATTTTTAAATAAAAAATAAGTTTTTTTATTTTTTTATACTAATTTAATAAAAAAGGTAATTTTAAGATATTGTTTTCTCTTATTTTTTCAAATTTAATTAACAAACAATAATCTATTTATATATAAAATATAAAAATTTTAATTTAATTTTAAGTAT